ATTTCTGCTTCTTCAGAGTCATCTTAGTCCACTATGAAAGCCCCCATCTTGATTTTTTGATCCCCCTTGCAGACATCTCTGTATGTACTCGTAGTCCTCAAGATACTAATGGAGCCTACCACTACAGTTGCATGTCACGATAGCTGTTAAACAGAATGGCCTCACTTTATAACAACCCCCCCTCCCCAGTCTCTCTAATGCAGCTATCAAATGAATGTGTGGGTCATTAAGCAGAGCAGGGATACCTAATGGGAGGAGGAAGCCCTTGGGGACTAGCACAGGCCCTGGTCCGTCTGCCCCAGGCTTCCCAAGGCCTCCACCTCTCCCTGAGACACCACAAGTCTTTTCCTACTCCCACTGGGTCCCCACAGGCCTTAGGTCCAATTCCATCTGATCTTAACCCTATTTTCAAAAGGAAATTCCATTCCCACTTCAAATAAATGATAAGCCCTACTATATTTGCTAAAGAAAAGAAGGACTGAGATAGAAATATAAAAGCCATGAGGAAAACCGGGACAAGCAACATACATATAGAAACCCCACCCCAGTAATATCAAAATCAAAATATAAAACTTGATTTATTCTCAAGTAAATCCTAAGAGGCATTAGAAGACAGATTTGGACATAAGTACAAATAAGTAAGTATATACAGTGGCTCAGTGGCTAAGATGCTGAGCTTGTCGATTGAAAGGTCGGCAGTTCAGCAGTTCGAATCCCTAGTGCCATGTAATGGGGTGAGCTCCCATTACTTGTCCCAGCTTCTGCCAACCTAGCAGTTCGAAAGCACGTAAAAAATGCAAGTAGAAAAATAGGGACCACCTTTAGTGGGAAGGTAACAGCGTTCCGTGCGCCTTTGACGTTTAGTCATGCCAGCCACATGACCACAGAGACATCTTCAGACAGCGCTGGCTCTTTGGCTTTGAAACGGAGATGAGCACCGGCCCCTAGAGTCGGGAACAACTAGCACATATGTGCAAGAGGAACCTTTACCTTTAACTTTTTTATCTACATAGACTGTCAGTAGATTTTACCCAAAGTACTAATCGTGATCATGTGACCCTGGGACAGTGCAACTGTCATAAATACATGTGAGTTGCCAAGCACCTGAATTTTGATCACATGACCACAAGGATGCTGCAAAAATCGTAAGTGTGAAAAACGGTTGTAAGTCACTTTTTTTCAGTGCCATAGTAACTTTGAACGGTCACTAAATGAATGGTTGTATGTTGAGGACTACCTGTACCAAGCAAATCCAGGGTTCTCTCTTAAGTCAGATATCCAAGCAATTTAATTTAAAGTGAATCCAAAGGAATTTCACAAAGACCGTTTTGTGTCTCGAGGGAGGTTTCTTTGTCTTTTTTTGCTACAAAAAACCATCTGTTCATAAGTCATAGAAGACTCAATACAAGTTAGAAAAGTATGCAAAAATAATGGAGAATTAGGGGAAAGTTTCATACCTTAGGTTTGAAACAGTACCTCTTTCATTTTACTGTTTTGCTGCATATGTCCGCTACAACATGAAAGACAGTACAAAGTCAAATACGTGTTTTAAACTCACCTGCTACTCCAAGGAAGGCAAAGATCCACAGCACTTTCATTTTGTATCCTGGTGTCACACAAATCTGAGTGGAACTTTCCAAAGGACTCTCTCCCTCTTTATATCCTTCTTAGGGATTTTATCTCTTCGGTCCAAGGCCCCACCAGCTCTCCACTTCCCAGGGTCTTGCACAATTACGCAGCTCCACATGTGCTTAAGGTGATAGCGTTATTCCACATGGCTTAAGTTTAAAGGAAAGCACTTGTAGCAATGGAAAAGACAGGCAGGTGCTTCAATGCCATTCAGTTTGCATGCTAGGTCTTGCCTTGATACTCTTCCTGCCTTCTTGAATGGTTATGAAACCTTTCAAAGGTCTTTGTTTTGCAAGATCTGGGCCACAGTTAGTCCTAGAAAGCCTTTCAGAGACAGAGGGCAACGACATGGCTGCCAAAACTCAGATCTCTTCTCATCTTGGGCCAGACTCAACAGATTACAGGAAATCTTCCCATACTTATGTCAGGATACATGTTACCCTGAAGAACCATTGCTTTTTGTTGTTGTTTGTTTACTCTACACTAAATACACCATGGAAGAGGCTTTTGACAGTTTGCTCTAGTTATTGTCCTGATCTAGGAAGATTGTCCTGATCTCATACTGGCAGTTATCCCAGTTTGACAGGTCCATCTTGGTTTTGGGATGGTTGTCCTACCTAGAATCACCTCCCAGACAAAAAAAAACCACCTGGATTTGATTGCATAATGTGAAAGTTCTGTCCAATTAGAGTCTTCTCCATTTGCAACAGCACCATGACAGCCATCTGAAAAACAAGCATCATCCACCCATGGTTCATAGGATTCTTCTGGCTTTCCATAGGTAATTTGTCTGCCCCCAAAACTTCCTGTTCTTGCCCTCACAAGTGATGGAGGAAGGAAAGATAGGCATGGCCAACGGCACAATTTACAGAACCTGGAGACCTGTTGTAGTCTGCTGCTTGAGTGATGGGTTACAGAATAGTGAAGTGATTGTCAACTTTCAGTATCTTAATTCCCACTAAGAGAATTTAGAACCACTGTGCTTTATTCAAGGATGTGATTTCTACAGTTATATCCCTTGATATACTGATTAGTTATGGTAAGCATTAGGATATATTACATGCAAACAAAACAGTGTAACAGTGTAAATTTACAAATTTACATGTAATTAACTTTGGCATAGTGGCATTAGGCTAGAATTGAGAAAACAATGAGTTCTAGTCCTGTCTTAGGTGTAAAGTCAGCTGGATGACTTGGGCTAGTTCCTTTTTCTCAGCCTCTAGAACAGGGTTGTCAAACTCGATTACATTGAGGGCCGCATCAGGGTTGTGTTTGACCTTGGGGGCCAGTGTAGGCATGGCCAGCTTGACATCACTCGTGTTGGGGGCATCTGTGGTGGCCTGAGCACTCTGCCGATGAAAACGGGCTCCCAAACCCTGTTTTCAGCTGTGACGGCCTCCTGCTACCCTCAGCCAGCAAAAACGGAGCTCGGGGGGGAGCACACACCACACACACACACACACACACACCGAGATCCATTTTCTCTGGCAGAGGGCAGCAGGAGGCCATCGCAGCCAAAAACAGAGCAGCCCTCCCGAGCTCCATTTTCACTGGCAGAAGCACCGTGGGCCGGTCCTTTGCTGTTTCTAGGGCAGCCCCGCGGGCCAGATCTAAGCACCCTGCAGACCGGATCTGGCCCACAGGTCTTGAGTTTGACACCCCTGCTTTAGAAGGAGGCAATGGTGAGCTACTTCTGAAAAAAAACTTGCCAAGAAAACTGCATGGACTTGTCCAGACAAAAGACATGACCAGAATTAGACATGATTGAATAGAAGAATATAATAATTGGGGTAGGTCTGGATGGAGATAGCAGGATAAAATAGAAAAAGGTAGGGTTGGGGTAAGAAGGATGGACAGTGGAACAAAACTGTGATTTTTACTATAGGTGTAATTTTAGATGCTGACCTGAGAGAGAAAACTTTACAAATACAGTCGACCCTCTGGTCACGACCATAATTCGTTCCATAATTTTGGTCGCAATCAGATTTGGTTGTGACCCGAACCTAATTTTGGAAATTTGGCTCTTCCAAACAAAAAAAAAATGGCACAGAAGGGGAAATCAGCTGTGGGAAAAAAATTGTGAATTTTTTGTTTCGTGACCAAAGGTTCTATTGTACTGTGTTCTTTTCTTCACACAGTAGCTGAAGCACTCTAGGCAGACTCTTCTGTTTAAAGAGTATCCTGTGTAAGAATAAAGATTGCACAACTGTTATGCTAGATTATTAGGTCTATTCACACAGCAGACTCAGATTTGGTATACACCGTGCTGCTGAGATTAGACACCCCTGCACTAGCTCCTTACAAGAACAGGGAAGGAAAGATGTTACTTCTGCAAAACAAAGAACACTAGACAGAATACCATGGTCAGCATATCCAATTCTGGTACAGGAGAATACAGAAACAGAACAAATCAGGGATTAGATAATACTTTAGATCAAGAGTTTTATTAGGATTAGAAAAGGGATGGCAGGAGAAGGAAATATCTGGCTGCCTTATACAAAGAAGATGCTACCATTGAAACCATATACTATACACTAGTATACCCACACTATACCCACACTATATTTGAAAGGATCCCTTGTGGATTCCCACAAATTATTTGCTTGGTTCCTTCCATCTCTTTTTTTGCTGTCCTCTTTCTCTTCTAGTTAGACAGAAAGTTATGGTACAGGTACACTTGCAGAAAAATATTGGTACAGAACAAAATATTTAATCATCAAAACATCATAAAGGGTTAGGTTGTTTGGTTTTAGTGTTGGATGCTATTTTAATTGCAAAAGTGTTTGGGTGTTCAATTCAGTGGGTTTGTTTAGACATACAATTTTTAATTGTTTAATATCTACTGCAGACCAGAAATTACACTTTTATTATCCATATCATTATCCAGAATAGGGTATTATCTTTGAATCTCATTGTTAAACTACCAGCCTTTTTTCAAGTGCCTTCTACAATCTTGGCAGACAACCATCCCAGTATAAAATTTACTGTCCCCACGGGCAATCCCTCACCTGCCACTGATTTGGCTGTTTGTCAAATGGTAGTGCCATAATTTCACTTGTGTTGGAGTATTAAAGCAAAGTGATTGGTTAAACCACCCTCTCTTGCTGCTCTCCTGCTTTCCACAACCAGTAGGCATCCATCTAGCAATCAGGCATGGGAATGTAGGGATGAGCCTTGGGCCAGTGGCAAGTTGAATCAAGTGGCTGACGGGTACCATCATAGAAGAAGGCACCTGTTTCAACAGGGGAGTTTCTGCAGTAAATCAGGCAAACAAGTTCTGTCAAAACCCAGCAGCCTCCCTTCCTTGATCCCTGCTGTTGGGTAGGCTGGGGAAACTGCAAGAAGAGTGGGACAACTGAATGACACTCAGTAAATGACACTCAGTTCCAACTCATTTAACAACTGTTCAACCAGCTGGGGAAATGTAATCTGGGGAGCACTATTTTAAAACTGATCTGCTTAAGCCTGTCTCACTTATGAGCTGAGGTGAGACAAAAGCAATTTTATTGTTAGTATGTATATCCAGTTTAGATTCATTTGGATTCAGATATATATCAGTTTTCACTTGCTTTCTGTGAATTGTACCTGTCAGTTTAAAATCCATTCAGCTTGTTTGGAAAAATCTTTTTAAAAATGTCAAAATTTCCAGTGTTGGGCTGAAATATGTATTAATTCAATTTTTTTTTTGAAAATATAGTTTAGGCCAGATATCACTTTGTTAGAGATAATGGACCAAACCTCCAAAAAAATACATGGTATGTTATTTTTGTGCATGTTAACAGCAAGAGTCCAATTTGCTCAACCCTGGAATGATCCTAGTTACTTACAAGGAAGAGTGGTTAGAAAAGAGGATAGAGATGGCAGAGATGGCGAAAATGACAGCCCTCCTTGGAGAAAAAGCTTTGCCAAAATTTAATAATTGGAAGTCTTTTATGGACATTTTGCAAGAAAATTAAAAATCAGATTGTAACATATGGATTTGATGACTAGTGAAAGTCATTGATTGGAAATGGAAGCTATAGTTTAATGCTAAAGTAAGGATGGGATTTAATGTCTTCTGTAAAATAAGTTGGACATTACCCTTTTATTTCTTTTACACTTTTGTTTCTTTCCATCGTTTTTTATCTTTTGGTTCTTCTGACTCATCTCTTTCACTACCTTTTTCTTTTCTGCCTATTTTTTTCTTTAACTATTTGTTTTTGTTAGTTTTTATTTTTATGTTTTACTGGGAAAAAAATAAAGTTATATTTTTTCCAGAATGTCCTTTTCTATGTGTAATTTATAATAAACTTAACTACCTTGCAGCTTATTCATATTTCTAGAAAAATCCAAGTATATCCATTGAATGATTGATGGAAATTAAAAAAAAATAAAATCCTAAAAGGACAGTGAGTCTAATCCTAATTATGTACCTTTCTCTTAGGCAAGATGGATTCTTCTTTCTATATTTTTTTATTCTTAAGTAAAATTCCTCTAATCTATCAAAACACAAAGTTGATTTTTGTATCCACTTTTGATCCTATATTTATGCATAAAAGTAAACCAAGGAGAGAAGTAACCTTGAACTAGGGAGAAAATTCCTAACAGTGAGAACAATTAACCAGTGGAACAAGTTGCCTTTGGAAACTGTGGGTGCTCCAACATGGAGGCTTTTAAGAAGAGATTGGACAGCCATCTATTAGTAATAGTATAGATGAGAGCAGAGGATTGGGCTAGATGACCTCCCTTCCAACTCTGCTACTGTTACTGATTAATGAAGCCCTTGATTTCAAATGATGCTTTAAAGAAAAGTATATTTTTGTGAGAGGGAGAGCAATTTTATATTTGAATTCCTTAAAGAAATTTAAGTAACTATTGTATTGATTTGATGATTTAATTTGTTAATAAGATGTCTACAGAATTCAGTGAAAGTAGTTTCCATTCTGGACACTAAGATATGCTTCTCCAACAGTTAAACAGTTCCTTTGTTGATTGACTCAAAAACCATGAAGATCCCCACCATAAAAAAAGTTGGGAAAGAAAATGGATCAAGAACCTTCGTCTCTTCATCTCTTGCCTCTTAAGTTTACTCAGTTCTTTGAATTACTCTGAAAAAGAAATCATCCAAGCATAAACATTTGTGCTACAATCTCCATAAAGAAAGCAGGCTATTGGAACCCATTTGGAATTTCTTTATCATCCCTCAGCACATCCTTGAGATCCCTGTTGTTCAACTGTTCAATAAATTCAACATCTCCAAGAGCCCTGGTACACAGTGGTTAGAATACAGTATTGCAGGCAAACTCTGCCCAGACTAGAGTTCGATCCTCATGAGGTTCAAGAGTCACTCAGCCTTCCATCTTTCTAAGGTTAGTAAAATTAGGATCCAAATTGTTGGAGGCAATATGCTGACATTATAAACTGTCCAGAGAGTGTTGTAAAACACTATGGGGTGATATATAAGTGCTATTGCTATTCTTACTTCAGATATAGTTAAAATTCTTTAAAATTGTTGGCTCTCATGACTTGTGATGTTAAATTAGTTGGGTTTAAATGAAATTTAAAAAAAAAACAGAATTCCTAAAAATACAAAGTTACTTCAATGTGATGCTACAAAGCATGAAAACTTAGTCAGAAGCAATAGAAAAATATTTTTCTCCATTATGTGTGAACACAATGTCTAGTTTTTACTTCTTTTTTCTTGAAACAGCTCCAAGGCCTTTTGCTGCCAATGAAATAATTAAGAATCACCTCTCTTGACTTGTCCTTGAAGTGACAGGATATTTCCAGATATGGGTCCTGGAATTTCACATTATCTTATATATAATGTAAAAGATGACGTCTCATGCCTCTGTCAATTCCAGAAGTTTCTTTCCCAGAGATTCTTGGCATAGCCAGTATACATATGCCAATTTGGCATACATAAACTCACAAGGTCCTTTAACACATGTTAACAAACTTTTTTCTCCCATACTTGTATGTGAATGAGCATATGCATGACAGAACTCTTGTAAATTTCTAGAATATTGATAATACAAACTAAATGGAACATATATGCTTTGTAACCCATGTTTTTAATCATGTAACAGAATATTTCTCATATTATTATGAAGGATGTTCTGGGGACTCCTCTCCAAGATGGCTACTGAATGGTAAGGGATTTTTTGTCTCTTGTCTCTTCTGATTTTGTTGCCAAAGCTGGTTCTGTGGCAGTGCTGCTCCCTGGATTTGAATGGGAGCATTTAGGAATGACCCAAGATGCCTTTTGGACAGTCGTGGATCCACCTGAGAAGGGGAGTCTTGAAGATTCCAGTTCCTTTTGGGAGCAGTGGGAAAGTCACTGATCATCCATCTTCCTTTCAACAGTTATTTTTTTAAGCATGCCTGGGTTTTAACTTTAGCTTTTGAATTTTCTGGTTTATTCTGCTTTTTATCTTTAAAAGTTGACCAGTTGGTTGAATGCTGATTTATTTTAACCCCTTGCTGGACTCTAACTGTTCTCCTTTTTCTTTTTCCTTTTAATTTATCTTGTCATTTGAATAACTTTTGCTTTCCTGTAAGGAAACATGGCATGCTCTTGGATGGTGAATTTTTCCATTTTTAAATTTGCAAAATATTTGGAGGGTTTTTTTTTATTATTATTTTTCTTTTAATCTTGGATCAAAATATCCAGAAAATATCTTCCTGCTCCTTTTTGCTTCAGCATTCTTTGTTTCCTGGCTATGTTACACAGAGCAACAATGTATCAGATTATAGACAACCAAGGATGGCTGAGATCTGGTAAAAAACCTTTTGGTAACATGCATTTTTTTAGTCGAAAGCTTTTTTAAAAAATTTGATGAAATAATGGCTGTGGAAAATATTCAGATGCATGTAGATCTTTATAAATTAGTTTCACAAAAGGAATGTGATTTGAAAGCTGCAGATCCTAGTCAGCTGGAAGAAATTACCGCCCAAAAAGTACCCCTCAGACCGGAAACTTACCTATTAGGTATACTGACAAAGGACTATAAAAAAGAGACACAATACTTGATAATACACATCCTAACTGCAGCTAGAATCGTCTTCGCACAAATGTGGAAATTGGAAAACACGCCACCAGAAGAAAAAATAATACAAAAAATTATGGAATGTGCAGAAATGGACAAATTGACCAAAGAAATACAAGGAAAAGAAGATACAGACTTTTACTTAATTTGGCAAGAATGGTACAAATGGTTAGACAAAAAAGACACGAAATAAGAGATTACCACCCAATGATACAAAAATAAGGAAATAAAAGGAAATATCGTTATATAAACATTGATACAAGATGAAAGATAATATATATAGATATATTGATATATAATTACCGAAATAGCTTTATTTTCAAAGTTCAAGTTATGTGACTTGATTTCATTGTATAGTTAGTATATGTCTAGTTTGTTTTAACGTTTATGTCTATATGTGTATGTTTGTTTACAATAAAAAAAAATTTTTTTTTAAAAAAAGAAAGCTGCAGATCCTTTGGAAAGAGATAGGGACTATACAGAGGTTGTAGAACTAATTGAGTTGAGTGCCTAGGCCACTCTGAAGTTCAAGCTTGCATTCTTCTACAATAGCAGAAGCCTAACCGAATGAAGAAGTGATCAATTGGTTTTTCCTAGGAGAACTGAAGAAACTTGGGGAATAGATTTATCACACATAAAAGGAAACCACTTTCATCTGGACTTTGTTGGGAAGATGGACAGATTGTGGAGATTGAATTTATTATATTTAGTTAGACAACAATTGATAAGAGATGGCATTAAGAAACAAACATGGATGTTTGACCCAGGACAAATTATGGGATAGATAAGATGCTGTGGTAAATTTTCTACAAGTTGTTAACAGTTTGTTAACAGAGGATTTTGAAATTTAACCTTGTCTTTTTTTAATTATTATTGTTCTTCCTTTTAAATATTTTGTCATTAATATAGTACATAAATGACAGGTCATTTGCAAATAAATTTAGTAGTTCAAAAATTTTGGAGGTCTGTTTCGCAAGGGTGGGAAATCAATATTCTAGTAATGTATCGATCAGAATTCAATTAGGGCAGACAATATGTGTAGATGTGTTGAGGTCTTTTTCTTTTTTTAAGGTACTTTTTTCAATGTCTTGTTTATTTTATGTTCTTTATTTTTATTTTTATTTTATTTTTTGGACTTTTGTATTTTAACTTTTTTTCAAATAAAAATAGAAGAATAAAGAATGTTCTGTTTTAGAACAACCTTTCTGGCTCGGTGGACAAGCGGAGGCAGTAATGGCTATTATTATTATTGTTTATTGGTTCGATTTATATGCCGCCCTTTTCCGGAGACTCAGAGTGGCTTACAATGCGTTAAGCAATAGCCTTCATACTTTTGTACATACCTGCTTAGTAGGGCTTTCAGCCCCCCCTAAGCGGTGTTCTTTTTTATACAAAGTCAGCTTATTGTCCCCACAAACCAGGTCCTCATTTTACCTACCTCGAAAGGATGGAAGGCTGAGTCAACCTTGAGCCTGGTGAGATTTGAATTTGCAGTAATTGCAGGCAGCTGGTGTTACTTAACAGTGCTTTAGTCTGCTGCATCACCAAGGCTCTTCAAGGCTAGGTGGGAGAGCAGATGGTTTCATGTGTATGTGCATTACTTTCACAAATGTGTCTTTGCATGCACACACACACACATACACACACTCACCCACCACTTCTGTGGCCGGGTTCCGAATGGGCTGCAGCCCCACACCAGGCCATGGACCAGGCATTGGGGATTCCTGTGCCTTGCTGACTTGCAACAGTTTGTTAACCAGGCAGCACTACTGAACTGTAATAGTCTTTCAGATCTTGATTAATACATGAATCATTCAAAGTAGATTACTTCTCCAAGTATCACGTAGACCGAGATTCATGGAAATTGTAATCCAACACATCTGAAGAGCGCTAGCTTGGGGAAGTCAAGCCTGTGGATGGTAAATGTGTGGAAAAAATGATAAACTAATGCATTGCTACTGCTGTAAGAAAATAAAGACAGCATGATAAATTAAATGCCTATTCATAGTCCCTCTTTTAATTTGAGAATAAAGGAACAAAAATCTGAATAGGCCACATATGATTCCATCTTTAATTCATTCTGAAACATGAACACATGCTTAATGATTGTTTAGTAGTCATAATATACTTTCTGATAAGAATTTTTTATTGCCGCTGTTCACTATAAAGCTATATGTTTGTCTTTCATTTTAGTAATCCTCAATTACTGATTTCAAAGAAAGTATATATCCCAAGAAAATTAGATAAGTGATAGAAAATGTTTTAAATGCTTGGGTAGACAAGTTATCTTTTGATACAAAATTCAAAGGTAACAGCACACATTTGCAGAAATAAAATAATGTATTTCATACTAGTTAGCATATTATTATGGTCTGTTAATTCAAAAGCTGAATTATGTAGCATATTGCAAAAATATAGTCTAATTTGTTTTGTCTGGGTTTCAGTTCATTAAATCTGTTGGGAATTAAGTAAATTTGGGTTGACCAAATGGATTTGTGCTAGCTTACCATAACTCAAAATTCAAAATGTGGACAGGATTTTGGGGAGACTTAGTGCGGCCACATGTTTACTGGACCCGTGTCCCTCCTGGTTGGTACTGGCTTCCCGGGAGGTTACACGAGGCTGGCTCCAGGGTGTTATCAACGCTTCGTTGAGTGAGGGTTACTTCCCCACCGCCTTGAAAGAGGCGGTGGTGAGGCCTTTCCTCAAGAAGCCGTCCCTGGATCCGGCAATATTGGCCAACTATCGTCCTGTCTCCAACCTTCGCTTTATGGCGAAGGTTGTTGAGAGTGTGGTCGCACGACAGTTTCCGCAATTCCTGGAGGAAACATCTTATCTAGATCCGTTCCAGTCGGGTTTCAGGTCTGGGCACAGCACAGAAACGGCATTGGTCACGTTGGTTGATGATCTCTGGAGGGCTCGGGACAGGGGTTGTTCCTCTGTTCTGGTCCTGTTAGACCTCTCAGCGGCTTTTGATACCATCGACCATGGTATCATGCTGCACCGGCTGGAAGAGTTGGGGGTGGGAGGCACCGTGTTGCGGTGGTTCTCCTCCTTTCTCTCCGACCGGTCGCAGTTTGTGTTGGCAGGGGGGCAGAGGTCGACCTCGAGGCCTCTCATTTGTGGAGTGCCGCAGGGATCGGTCCTCTCGCCTCTCCTGTTCAACATTTATGTGAAGCCGCTGGGTGAGATCATCCGTGGCTTTGGGGTGAGATACCACCAGTACGCTGATGACACCCAGCTGTACATCTCCACCCCAGGCCACCCCAACGATGCCCTTGAAGTGATGTCCCAGTGCCTGGAGGCTGTACGGATCTGGATGGGGAGGAACAGGCTCAAGCTCAACCCTTCCAAGACTGAGTGGCTGTGGCTCCCGGCATCCCGATATAGTCAGTTGACTCCATCACTGACTATTGGGGGCGAGTCATTGGCCCCCACAGAGAGGGCTCGCAATCTGGGAGTCCTCCTGGATATGCAGCTGTCCTTGGAGGAACATCTGACGGCTGTAACCAGGGGGACCTTTTGTCAGGTTCGCCTGATTCGCCAGTTGCGGCCCTTTCTTGATCGGGATTCCCTGTGCACAGTCACTCACGCCCTCGTCACCTCTCGCCTTGACTATTGCAACGCTCTCTACATGGGGCTCCCCTTGAGGAGCACCCGGAGGCTCCAGCTGGTCCATAACGCAGCAGCGCGGGTAGTGACGGGAGCAGCATGGCGCTCCCATGTAACACCGCTCCTGCGCGAGCTGCACTGGCTCCCAGTTGTCTTCCGGGTGCGCTTCAAGGTGTTGGTTATCACCTTTAAAGCGCTCCATGGCATAGGGCCTAGCTATCTTCGAGACCGCCTGCTGCTACCAACGACCTCCCATCGATCCGTGCGCTCCCACAGAGAGGGCCTCCTCGGGGTGCCATCAGCCAGACAATGTAGGCTGGTGACCCCCAGGGGGAGAGCCTTCTCTGTGGGGGCTCCCACCCTCTGGAATCAGCTCCCCCCAGAGATAAGGAGAATCCAAGACCTCAGTGCCTTCCGTCGCGCCCTTAAAACCCATTTATTTAAACAAGCCGGGCTGGCTTAAGATGAAATTTTTAACTGTTTTTAAATGTTTTAAACGTTTTTAATTGGTAAATGAGTTTTAATTGGGCCAAATTTATATATCTTTTAATTGTTTTTAATATTTGTTCTGCATGTTTTTTAATCTGGCTGTACACCGCTCTGAGTCCTCAGGGAGAAGGGCGGTATAGAAATCCAATATAAAATAAAAAATAAAATAAAAAACAAGAAAATTTATCACCTGCTTCTAAAAAAACAAGAGTTTTCACTTTAATAAAGGGTTATTTATTGGTGGGCGTGCATAACTTCTCAAACTCCTTTAACACAATCCAATGAACTGGGATTATAACTTTTTGGGTTATAATCTAGGACTATAACTTTGTTTTATCCTCCTGTACATGTGTATGCATCAATATATATGTTGTAGAACAGGGCTGTCAAACTCCTGGCCCACGGGCTGGATGCATCACACGCTGGCCACACCCATGCCCGGTTTAGTGAAGGGGGGAAGTCCTGATACGTCATGTGATGGTGCCATGACGACACCCCTGTTGTAGAACTATTGTAAAATTCTAGATTATTGAAGAATCATGTACTTAACATGTGCACCTATATCAATCAAATTCATGCAAATATACTTACATATATATGATCTATATGGATGATAGTGTAATTATCTATATCTTCCAACCCATATTTTTAATCATATAAAGGAATAACTCTTTTTACTATGATCAAGGAATAGACAACCCATGTGCCACTGAGTCTTCATTTCTGACATATTTCAGAGATATTTCTGTTTCAGAGAAACAGAATAATCAAAGGAAAAAAAGCAGTAGGAGCGGGAATGAATTCCCACTCAACCTCTCCCATTGAGTTTCCTTGTGAGAATCTTTTTTTTTTTAATTTGATTTATATGCCGCCCTTCCCCAGAGACTCAGGGAGGCTTACAGTGTGCTAAGCAATAGCCTTCATACTTTTGTATATTTATACAAAGTCAGCTTATTGCCCCCACAAACTGGGTCCTCAATTTACCTACCTTAGAAAGGATGGAAGGCTGAATCAACCTTGAGCCTGGTGAGATTCGATCTTTCTTTAATTGCAGACAGCTGGTGTTAAATTCCAGTGCTTCTGTCTGTTGAGCTAAACCAGAATCTTACAGGGAGCATTGGAAATCTTTCCTTCCTTCCTTCCTTCCTTCCTTCCTTCCTTCCTTCCTTCCTTCGAAAATTTATCACCTGCTTCTAAAAAAACAAGAGTTTTCACTTTAATAAAGGGTTATTATTTTATTGGTGGGCGTGCATAACTTCTCAAACTCCTTTAACACAATCCAA